CGACAGGTCGCAAACGGCGAGCATACTGGGGCCTTAAGATGGATCTTCTCAAGAGTAGTCCCAAAGCGCACTCAAACCGGCTCTAGTGATTGTTAGCTGACTGCAGCTCCTTCTCCCCCCGTTTTTTACTGTTTTATACTCACTTTCGGCTCTATAGTAGGTGTGTGTGTGAAACTTGCTGCCGATGAAAACCCAAGACTTAGCCCCACATCTAGTTTTGCTGCTTCATAATAAAAGCATTTACGGCCACCATAGTTTCTTACTCGTGCTTGGAAAGGGAGGTTGAAGTGATTGAGTTGCAGTCTGCTACACTATTAGATGGCACTAAATCCTACACAATTCATTCAGGCAGTGGTAGAAAGAAACATTTAAAACATTTAAAGTACATTTACTCAAGTGAAATAGCATAACTAAAAAAAGAGAGATAGAAGATCAGCAAGGTAAACATAATGGACATATGTTAATGGTCTCAAAGAATGTGTGTGTAATGTATGTTTGAATGTTTGTATTAGAGGCATTGATATAACGATGGGAAAAATACAAGTAAAAATAAAAAAAGGGGCGCATTAATGAAAAAAAAAAAAACTAAATTATATATATATATATATATATATAGAGAGAGAGATAGATATATGTATATATAGTTAAAATAGTATCTAGTAGTATCTAATAGTATCTCTACCTAGAGCAGCTATATCTGTAAAATGTTGCTTTCTCGTGTATCAGTATTAAAAATCTGATAATGTCAAAATAACATATCAGTCACAAACAAGTACTTTTACTTTGATCTTTTGAAGTATTTTGCTGATAATATTCATTTTTACTACAGTAGGTGTCCACTGTCCACTTTTGAGAGAAGTATAATGCAGTTTGTGTGTTTGAAAAGCAAAATGGTTCAACTACAGAATTGTTGTGGATGTGTGACACATCTGACCCAAAGGCTAAACTAAAACTAAATAATATAATATAATAAAATAAAATAATATATAAAGATATAATTTGTCTGTTGCACGTTAGTTAAGGTCATGTGGTAACCATGGTACATTTTAAAGCTGGCACATGCACAGATAGACCCCTGCCTGTTTGCCCAAGACTCAACAAGTGTCATCTTGGCTGCTGTTAATTGTTTTAGGTTATTATATAGTTATTAATAGTTATAACTATTTATTAGTTGTGTTATTAATGTTTTTAAATTAATATAATAAAGGAAAGATACACTGGTATCAACAAAAAAATACATACATTCTCAATGGGCAGCTTCACTTGTCTTTGAAATCTTTGTTGTCCATAAAACAAGCTTTGGGATGTTGCTGCCGGTTTGGGTCTAGTCTAAACTGAACTTTTCAGTGGTGGGTAGAGCGGTTCATCTGGATGTTTGTCATGTATATCTGTTTATATCACAATGGATGTGCACTGTGTTATGGCATTATTTGACTGTTGTGCCCATGCAAACAGACACCTCTCCAAAATCACGTGAAGACAGTAGAAAAAAAGTCTGACTGGGTTAGTTTAAGGGCTTACCAGTATCTGTCCTCTACAGCGGACTGCAGGATGTATCACAGACTTCTCTTGGTTAACAATATGGTATATACATAATTAAATTCAATCACCAGCATCAGGCTCTTGCAGAATTACACCCTATATCCTATCTTTCTATACTGATTTTGCCTTTCATAAATACCGTACAGTAAAAGCATTGTTAACATATGAATGGATTCTGTCCACAGAAACACCAGAGAGCTTTTAACTTGAAACAGATACAGGCATTGCAGGTGTTAGTTTGCACCCTCACTACGTAACATGGAGGGAGCTTTCTAAGACATTGAAAATCGATGTCCAGACCAACTTTATATGGTACACATGTCACCGCCCTAAAGACTTTGGACTGGTTTTGCAATGAAGGTTTTCTAGAAAATTGTTTTCCATTTTAGCAATGAAAGCTGAGAGAACATCCTCAGTTTCTATTTAGACATTGGCTTGTGAGTGTGTCACTTTGGTCAAGTGACGGATTGTCACTGAAATTTGATGCTGCAGTTTTGCATTACTCTCTTCTATTCGAACTGCCCACAAAACCTCAAAAGTCATAAAGTTGCATAAGAACAGGAAATGTTTTGAACCTGTCTACCTATCACCACCGTCTCATATCATCAACTGTACTCTTTAAAAAAACAACAACGAGTCAACATCAAGATGATCCTTTTATGGATTACACTGCTTCTTCTCCATCGAGTATGTAAGTGTTATATAAATCTGTCAAAACAATTATGTTATTTTAATTTTTAATTTTTTCTTTTTTTTTCATGTACTAAGCAAATTATGGCCCTCTTTCTCTTTACAGTTGGTATGTATCATTTCGTAGGATAATATTGTACATTCTGACTAGTATGTAATAACAATTATA